AAAAAAAAATTCTGAAATACACACACACACACAAACTTATCTACCTATATCTATCTGTCTGTCTGCATATTTATCATATAAAAAAATGGCTAACGGCATGTTATTTGAAAGTAGCCCATTTATTTAGCTTTGCCTTCTAACAAGATATCAAGTTAATATTTTAGGTGATGAAATGCAAGGCACATCTTTTCCTCCAAGTAAATAAAGTGCTTTTGCTGGTAGCTTTGCTTTTATGTTCACATCCATTCTTGGATTCATCGGAGCATATTGTTTCTATTTTTAGACTGTTGCCAGGCAGATGTAAAATTTCTCCTCTTATGTTTGCCAATTTCTAGCTTCCTGATTGGTTACATAACTCTACTTTTGTTAGCCAACCACAGTGACTATGCAAATTGTATTTCAGTTTCTGTTGCTGTGAGAGAACTGATAAGATGGCTGCAGGGGGCTCCCTTTGGGTATGTTTATTATTTTAAAGAAGGTTTTCGTCTTTATGTAATAATGAGCAAAATAAATTTTTTTAAGGGTATTTTATTTTTTGAAGCAGGAAATCAAACCATCTAAGCAAGCTTTATCAGGCTTGAAAAATGCCTCTCACATCAGATTTGATTAATTTTAATGGTGCTATGTATTGACCTCTGTTAAAGATAGCATTATGTGTAAGTAGATATAATTTGCTTTTCGCATCCTACCTCCCAAAATAAAGGTCATCTTCTGTGTGTAAACCTGCTGTATGTGAACATGCTGGTACGTTGGTTTACAATTATGTCACGAATGTTTCAGATTACTACCTTTACTTCCTAAAAGAATAAGTAATTAGTTTTTTAATTTCAGAATTATTTTAGGTGTTAGTTAATATGTCTATAAATGCATCATTCTTTTAGCCAATATTTACTGAGTATGTACTATATGCCATACACTACGTAGTTCATTAATGTTACACCAGAATTTCTTCTTTCTTTTGTTAAATGACTTCAGAAGAAGTTTATGATATCAGCATATTTTAAGATATTTTCTGACATTAAAGCTTTGGAACTTAAATGTGTTAATGTTATACTAGATACGTGATGGGAAGTACCAAAGTGTGTCATTGAATAATGCATAAATATAGGTATTAGAGTCCACTTATAATAATTATTTCTTAAAGAATGTATTTAAAGTACTGACAAATACAATAAATGGTACAGGATACATTATATTGGATAAAGACAATACTGTGTACTGAAGAAATGTGACAAAACCATATGCAGTCCCAGAATGTTCAATAAGTATAGTATACCTCATTTTGAAACAAATTTATCAACATTAATCACATTTAAGTCCTTTTGCTGATAGTGATCGTTTATAATAGGAGAGAATGCTTCTACTAAACTTTAGACTTCCTAGCCCTTCTGGTAAAAGGTCATTAATTGCATTTACTATATGTAGAAAACTTTATTAATATGTGTGTCTGGAATGATTATCCATACCACACTCAGTACTGTTTCTATGTTGAAAACAGTTGCTTTCTTTTGTTGTCTCGTATAGCTATCTCATGCCCATTACTGTCATCACGTAACATGAGCATGTTGTTGTTGGGTGCCATTGAGTCGATTTTCAACTCATAGTGACCCCAGGTGACAAGAGTAGAACTGCCCCATAGAGTTTTCTAGGCTGTAATCTTTATGGGAGCAGATTGCTAAGTGTTGCTCCCGCAGAACCACTGGGTGGTTTCGAACCACTATCCTTTCGATTAGCAGCCAAGTGCTCAACTGTTGTGCCACCAGGTCTCCTAGATGAGCATACTATAGAATTATGTGCCATTTATAACAGGGAAAATGAGTACCTGGCTTATCTAAGATGAGCACCTAAGAGTACAAGGCTGGTGGTATTTTACTTGTTTCACCTTTTATACCACTATAATTATATACATATACTTGTAGGCGTACAAATACGAACCCCTAAAATATGAACTAAAACAATACTTTTTTTCATGTTTAAAGTGTGACCCATTAAAGTGGGATTAGGTTAAAAACAAAAGAAAAACAAAATAACTGTAGTTCTGTTTTTTTTTTTTTTTAAATAACAGGTTTATTGAGATATACTTCAGTTCACCTATTTAAAGTATACAGTTTAATGGTTTTTAGTATGTTTATGGATTTATACAAATCATCACCACAATCAATTTTAGAACATTCCGTTGCCCCCCTCAAAACAAACACTTGTATCCATTGTTTACGGATTTGTATAAATCATCACCACAATCAATTTTAGAACCTTCCATTGCCCCCCTCAAAACAAACAAACACTTGTATCCATTAACAGGTCTCTCTATTTCCCCTAACCTCCTTTCATGCCCTAAGCAGCTACTAATTTACTTTCTGTCTCCATAGATTTGCCTATTGTGGACATTTCATATAAACGGAATCATTAAATATGTGGGTGTGACTGGTTTCTTTCACTTAACGTTTACAGTGTTCATCCATGTTTAACAAGCTTGGAGGATACAAGCTCTAATATATAAAACTATTATACCAGTACCAAGTTGTTTTGATTACTGTAGCTTTATAGTATGTTTTGAAATCAGAGAATGTGAGTCCACCTACTTTATTCTTTTTCAAAATTGCTTTGGCTGTTTGGGGCCCCTTATCATTCCATATAAATTTAAGGTCTAGCTTTTCTTTTTCTGCTAAGAAGGCTGTTGGAATTTTGATGGCTGTCACATTGAGTCTACAAATGGCTTTGGGTAATATTGCCATCTTAACAATATTAAGTCTTCCAGTCCATGAATATGTAATGTCCTTCCATTTATTTAGGTCTTCTTTAATTTCTTACAGTAATGTTCTGTACTTTTTGTGTACAAGTTTTTTACTTTCCTGGTTAAATTTATTCCTAGGTATTATATCCTCTTAGATGCTATTGTAAATGGAATTGTGTCCTTAATTTCCTTTTCAGAATGCTCATTACAGATGTGTATAGAAACCCAACATATTTGTATGTATGTTGACCTTGTACCTTGCCACTTTACCGAATTCATTGATTAGCTCTAATAGTCTTCTTGGGGAGTCTTTATGATCCTATATATATATAGGATCTTTTTATGATCCTGTATGTATAGGATCATAAAAACCCAAAACCAAACCCATTGCCATCTAGCTGATTCCGACTCATAGCGACCCTATAGGACAGAGTAGAACTGCCCCATAGGGTTTCCAAGAAGCGGCTGGTGGATTGGAACTGCCGACCTTTTGGTGAGCAGCCAAGTGGCAGTTTGAATCCACCAGCCACTCCTTAGAAACCCTATGGGGCAGTTTTGAAGGAGCCCTGGTGGCGCAGTGGTTAAAGCGATCTACTGCTAACCAAAAAGTCAGCAGTTTGATACCACCAGTGGCTCCGCGGGAGAAAGATGTGGCAGTCTGCTTCTGTAGAGATTTACAACCTAGGAAACCCTATGGGGTCGCTGCTATGAGTCAGAGTTGGCTTGTCGGCAGTGGGTGTATAGGAACATGTCATTTGCAAAAAGGGATAGTTTTACTTCCTCCTTACTGATTTGGATATCTTTTATTTCTTTTTCTTGACAAATTGCTCAGGCTAGGACTTCCAGAATAGAAGGTTGAATAGCAGTGGCTAGAGTGGGCATCCTTGTATTGTTCCTGATATTAAGGGGAAAGCTCTCAGTCTTTCTCCATTGTGTATGGTGTTCCCTGTGGGGATCAAAATTTCAAGAGCATGATTTGCTCCTGTTTTGTCCAAGGACTTGTTGTGAAAGCAGCTGTTAAGACTTCTGGTGTCCTTGGTTGTTGATTTTTGTTTTTAAATTGGTTTGGTGATCCTCCATTTTTACATTCTGATACCCCAGGTAGCAATATCCGTTGGTTGATGACAGGCAGAGGGGTTATTTGTTGACTTGTCAAATGCTATCATCACTGAATAATTTTCTGAATTTGTGAGTACTAGGTGAACGTAGAGCAGAGTTCATCAATTAGTATTTTAAACAAGATGGTAGGATAGCTGTTAACAGGGCTTTTATGTGAATTGAGGGAAGAACCATAGCATAGTAGAATTGAAGAATTGTGAACCTGGGCTTTGGGTCCTCAAGTAATTAATATTGCCAGTGTTTTGTGAGTGACAGAGAACGTGGTGAAAACCTTTGTGAGATATAACAGAATATTAAAAGTAGTGATTGTATATTAAAATTTTAGAAAAATAATGGATGATTAGCAGACATGACAAGATAGCCATTATTTAAGATAAAAATGAAAAACTTGATATATTAAATTCCAGCAAGCAGATGTCAAAGTTGGTGAACCAGGTTCAGCCATCTAATGGCTAGTAAACAGTGAAAACAGATTTTCAGCATTTATTGTGCAAGGAACTAATTATCCTTTATGATTTTGTTTTCAGGAATATCACAGAATTCTCAAGCAAAATTTAGCAGTGCAAAATAAAATCACAGTTTCAGCTGAGGATGAGGTGTGTGTGTTGGGGGAGGAGCGTAAAGAATCCAATAATAGCTGCATTCTAAAGAGGCTAGGAATCATCAGCATAGGAAAAATAATAGTATGCCACTGTTAGTCAGGCCTACTGACTAATATTTAGTTAAGCCATTAAACTGAAACTTAAATTTGAATAAAAATTATTTTCAGCATTACATTATTCAGAAAAATGTTACATTAATGTCAGTTAACACATGAATGTAACTGGAGTGCTTGTGTAAAAGATAGAAGTGCCAAGTCTACTTAAATAATTTTGCTTAAAGTTTTTCAAATTTTTGTTAAATTTATTTTTAAGTATAGTTCATCAGATAGTCATAACTTTGAACTTAATGTAGTGTTTGTGTGCGTATGTATGCTTTTTGATCCAACAATCCTGGTACTTCCTGTTTTTATTATTCAAGGCTGTTTTTGAAAAGCAGTACAGACCAGACCTTAGTTTACTTAATAATAATAATAAAATACAAACACCACAGACTGTAGTTCAAACAAAGAATCTAGGGATATATTACTAGTAAGTCTCCATTTCATTGTTCACTCTTTGTTTTCACACTCAGTTTGGATTCTTGGTAGAACACTTGCCCTCATCTGCTTCCCTTGTTGCTGGGCAAGGTTTGTGTTGCTCTTGTCTGATTGGTTTTAAGCAGCTACCTCTTTGAGCCAATCAGACAGTGAATTTCACTTCTCTCAGAGGACTGAAGCACTGAAGCAGCTGCTGATTTTATTTTTCCTATGGGGAGATTATATAAATTTTAGAGCATGACTGCAGCAAGCTCCCTCTTGGGTATGTTTGAAAAATTACAAGTTTCATCTGTAACTAAAGGGGAAAAAATGAGGTTTATTTTTTAAACTTGTTTACTAAGAATACCTAATAGGTAGTGAATTTGGGAAAGAAGTGTATTCTGATGAGAGAGCTCCTATTTTTATTTTATATTTTTACATTTAAAGAACTGTAAAATGATGTAATATAAGAAAAAAGTCCCTTCAGTTTACATGAATATTTACCTTGCTATCCATATATTTACTTTATTCCTTTAAAAGGTGAGTTCATATAACCTTTTTATAACCTGCTGCGAAAGGTAGTTAAGGAGAAAAGGATGTAGTGACTGTACTTACAGCACTTAATATAGGTTGTCAGGAATCAGACATTTAAATTCCATTAGATGAATTAAACTTAGTGCAGTGGACAACAGAACACTTTATAATGCTATCCACAGTAAACCTTAGGGTACAGAATACTATTAACTTTTGGAATTGGAAATCAGCAATAGTGATAGGTGAGAATGAAAATAATATTGTTAATTATTTGAATTTAATGTTTTGCCAGATTTTAGTTATAAATGTTTTATAGATGTATAACCAAAAAAACCCACAGCTGACGTCAAGTTGAGCTGACTCGCAGCTACCCTGTAGGACAGAGTAGAACTGCCCCACAGGGTTTCTAAGGCAGTAAATCTTTAAGGAAGCTGACTGCCACATCTTTCTCCTGCAGAGTGGCTGGTAGGTTCGAACCGCCTACCTTTTGACTCTTAACCACTGTGCCACCAGGGTTCTATAGATACATAGACTATGGATTATTTATTGTTTTTAGAAATTTACATTTGAATTTTGCAGGTTCTAACCCATTGTGTACAAAAGTATGTTCTTGTATGTATTGTCCTTGTTTGACTTATTCCCCAGTAGAGAAGTGATTCATATTTCTGGAAGAATTCACAGACATATATTAAAGCAAGATAAAGTAGCATAAAAGATGTAAATTTTATTTGTGTGTGGTAAGTTTAATGCATGTTAATGATTTAGGATTTTATGCAAACAGTGTTCTAGATTACCTATTATTAGACAAAGAACCACACTAAACTCTTGTGGATCCAGGTTTTGTTTTATTAATTATATGTATCTGACCTTATTGTCTGTCTCCTGTTGCTGGGCAGGAATCAGAATGCTAGCTGCTGATTGGCTGAGTTTGTGAGCAGCTCTTGAACAGCCACTTAAATTTCTCGAGCTTTTTGAGCAAGCAGACTGTAGGCTAAGACATAACAGCTTTTGGAAATACTTCCCTTTGTTGTTTCATGGCTGTGATCTGTTTGCTAGAAAGAAGAAATGGGTGGATGGAGGAGGATGAAGCAGAGAAAAAAATAATGTTTTCACTTAAGAAGAGGCTCATTGGGCTTTCCTTAAAAATAATTTGCTAAAGATTTGAAAATTTTTCCCAAGCATAGAGACTTTTTGCAGGTAACACACTCTTCTCTGTTTTTCAAATATAAATTCCTTTGGTAAAAGGGAAATCCTTGTTAATGCTATAGAAAGAGATTTTATTGGTGGCAATATTTCCCCGAGTTCTTGAGTTTGAATATATAGAGTAAGGGCTTAAACTTTTTTTTTTTCACTGTATCCTCCTCATGAAGAAATATTTTCCAGAGAAACTAGTTCATCACGTTTTGCAGTTAATTCTAGATAATGGCAGACATTTTCTGCTGTGAAATATTAATGCTTTTTCCTGTGTCTATTAATTACTGTCACATGAAATTTCGCTTTGTAATTCTAGTGTTACCGTCTAAAAAAGCAGTATTTGTTTTGTACAATGGTTTTGTGAATGACATCTTAGTTCCAGATGGTAGTATTTAACATGATCCTTAGAAATGTTGTGTTCTGATTAATATAGCCATGGAGACTTGTTTGCATGTAGCACATCTTTCTCTTTGTACCTTTGTTAAATATACTTTGCTTATGCAAAATAGGTTTCTAGACTGCTGATTGGTTTGCACAGATGTGGCTGAACCTAGTTTGAACTGGTTTTTAAGGCTACTTCCTTATTGCTTTGTCTCTTTTTTATTATACTTAGAACCCATAAAAGATCTGGTAAATGGCTGTAGTGTGCTCCCTTGTGGATATGAATGGTAGTTATTCTGTAATTTTCTGTACAGTATTTTATTGTTACTGAATTTAATGGCAATTTTATTGATAAAAGCAGCTTGCTTGGATTGTATTTATTTTTATTAAATGTTATTTGATGGTGACATTTTAATATTAAACAGGAGGTTTGCATATTGGGTTTTCGGATTCATATACAAAATACCAAAATACTTAAGTTCTGTAGTTTATGCCTAAAACATTATTTTGAATATACATAGATGATTGTATGATAACATTTGTTGAGCACTTACTATGTTGAATGTTTAATATATTGAATTCCATTTAATCATCATCCAACCTCTGACAGGTACTGATATTACTCCGTTTGTAAGGTAACTGGAACTAAAACTTAGACATGTTAGGTAATGTACCCACTGTGACACAGTAAGTACATGGGAGAGCTAGAATTCAAACCCATGTTTCTGTCTACAGGTTCATGTTCTTAATCGGGTTAGTAAAACTTATGGAAATGTACATTAAAAAATGTCTACTTTTAATGCAACTGGTGATAAGAATTGCAGTTCAGTGTTTGAAAATATTAAAGAATAACTATATAAATAACAAATTTAATTATTTTTTATGTTTGGAGTCAGCAAGGAAAAATTACCCTAGAATTTGCATTCTACTTCTTTGTGGAAATTTTTCAGTTAGCATGACTTTGGAATGAATGGTGAGAAAACCCTTGAAGTTGAAATTTTACACTGCCATTGATAACCCTTAAAATAGTGTCTGTGATAATTTTGCATTGAGGTTCATTTGAAAGGTAAATTGTCTAAATAGTTTTATTCAGTCCCCCGATTTAAATAAAAAGGCTAAGAAGACTAAGAAATAATACTTTAAGTCTTTGGCTTAAAGTGAGAGAATGATTGCAGAATGTACCACAATCCAAAAGTAGCATGACAGAGTGGTAGGTTCTCAAGCTGTATTGGCCTCCATCAAATAGGCTAGGCCCATTGTTTTATGGCCTTCAGCCAAAGACCATCAGGGACATAACCTGTATTTGAACAAGTTGATTTATTATTTGTTACAGGCAGGGACAGTTCTCACCATGGGGAAACTGTATGGCATATCAGTAGAGGATGTTAGAAAAAAACCTAGTACAGGATTTGAATCTCGGTTTTGTTATTTTGAGTAGTGCTTAAGAAAGTAGATGAACCTCACTCTGAACTGGGTGCTTTCAGAAAGTAAGGGCAATTCTGTGGCTGGGTATCTCACTATATTTTATCTGTAGGGAAAACAGGAGTTCCCTGGATGGCACAGACAGTTAAGGACTCAGCTATTGACCAAAAGGTTGCCGTTTCAAAATCACTCAGAGGTGCTTTGGGAGAATGGTATAGTGATCCGCTTGTGTAAAAGACCACAGCCATTGAAAACTTTATGGCGTGCACATGGGGCTGCCATGAGTTGGAATCTACTCGAAGATAACTGGTTTGGTTTTTGGTTTATAGGGAGAACACACTATAAGGAGGATAAAACTGTAATTGGTAAAGAAGTAACAGTCACTCATTTAGTGGGAGAGGGAGATATTTTGGTATTTTGTGGATTGCACAGTGACTGTGTCTGAAAAAATGATCCGTGAGATTTTCTATATTCAACAGGAGAATAACGTGGCCTAGCTATAAGCATCAGATCAGTTTATAGTAACATTGAAGCCTAGCTGTAAGTGTCAGATAAATTCCCTGATGTGAGGGGCTGCTTTTTTTCCTGCTCAAGCCAAAGGAAGACAGGAAGCCAAAAAGTTAAGTCTAATCATTTACTTTTTTTCTTCCTGTTTGGAATTTTATGCTCCCATCACTCCTACTGGAAATGGTGATGGTGAGTGGATATCCAGTGCGCTTTGCTTGCTCATAATGTATTATATTTTTAAGAAATATACTTCTGAATAACTCCTAGAGGAAAGAAGAAATCACAGTGGAAATTAGAAAAAATTTTAGCAGAATAATAATGAAAATATGGCACATCAAAATATGAGATGCAGCTAAAGCAGTGCTTAGAGGGAAATTTATAGCTTTAAAATGCATATATTAAAAAAGGGGAAAGTTTGAAAACTAATAATTAAGCTTGAACCTAAAGGAAAAAATAGTAGTTTAAGCTTTTTAAAAGCAGTAAGAGAAATGAAATAATAAATATTAAAGCACAAAACAATAAAAGTAGAAAGCAGATTTAAAACTGAGAAATATTAACAAAGTTAAAAGTTTGTTCTTTGAAGAAATAAACTGATAAAACTCTAGCAAGACTGATAAAAAAACACACATTACAGTATGTTCCCCCCCCTTTTTAATAGTCTTATTGAGAGATTCACATGCATACATTTCACCCATTTAAAGTATACAGTTCATTGGTTTTTAGTATATTCACAGAGTTTTGCAATTATCACCACAATTAATTTTAGAACATTTTCATCTTATAAAGAATCCCTGTACCCTTTGGCAGCACCCCCTATTTCTCCCTTCCCCCATCCCTAGACAATCACTAATTTACTTTCTGTCTCTAGATTTGCTAATTCTGGGCATTTCATATAGATAAAATCATTAAATATGTGGTTGGTTGTGACTGGCTTCTTTCACTTAGCATAATGTTTTCAACGTTTATCCATGTTGTAGTATGTGTCAGTACTTCATTCCTTTTTATGGCCAAATAATATTCCATTATATGAATATACCATATATATATTTTTTTACCCATTCATTAGTTGATAGACTTTTGAGTTGCTTTCACATTTTGCTGTTATAAATAATGCTTCTATAAACATTCATGTACAAGTTTTTATGTGAACATACGTTTTTATTTCTCTTGGGTATATACATAGGAGTGAAATCACTGGGGTCATATGGCAACTCTGTGTTTAACATGTTGAGTAACTGCCAGACTGTTTTCCAGAGCAGCTGTACCATTATGCAATCCCACCAGTATTGTATGAGGTTTGCAGTTTTCCCACATCCTGGCCAACACTTGTTATTCTGTCTTTTTGCTTATAGCCATCCTAGTGTTTGTGAAGTGGTATCTCATTGTGATTTTGATTTGCATTTCCCTGACGATTAATGATGTTAAGCATCTTTTCATTTCTTTATTGCCATTTGTATATATTCTTTGGAGAAAGCAGTCAAATCATTTGCACATTTTTAAATTGGGTTATGGTTTATTTCTCTCTATTATTAAGTTATAACAGTTCTTTAAATCCTAGATACTTACATCTATCCTAGATAGAAGTCTCTTATCAGATAAATGATTTGCAAATATTTCCACCCACTATGTTGGCTGTCTTTCCACTTTCTTGATGGTAATGTCTTATTAATATGTTTACGATTCCTGTTCCTTAATTGTCTGTTTTCTTTTTTCTTATCTCTATGCTTCTTTCCTATTCCCCTACTGATTTTTCTTCCTCATTTTCTTTGTCAACCAGATTATTAACCATCTGTTTTTTTAAATGTTTATATAACTACACCAGGCTCTGTGAATCCCATTAGCTTTATTGAGAATGAAAACTAGTCCTTTTTGTCGTAATACTGGCTTGTAATTGATCTTCTAGTATGGATTATACCCATTCATTAATTTTGTGTTATATAAATCTAGTAAATACAAAAACTAACTCACATCAAGGGTTATGATGTTTTCTATATGCCATTATTTCAAAATATCATTAAGTGCTGCTTACTTCTCTTATAATAAGATTAATGTGCAGTAAATCTGTAATCAGATGACTTCTGTTTCAATTATTAAACATACTTTCTTTCTCTCTTTTTTCAAGATTCAAAATGGATAGTATAGAAGAACCTCAGAAAAAAGTCTTCAAGGCTCGAAAAACGATGAGAGTGAGCGATCGTCAACAACTTGAAGTAGTGTGCAAGGTCAAAGAAGAACTGTTGAAGGCTGATGTCAAGCTGTTAAATGGCAACCATGAAAATGGAGATTTGGACCCAACTTCACCTTTGGAAAATATGGATTATATTAAAGACAAGGAAGAGGTGAATGGCATCGAAGAGGTTTGTTTTGACCCTGAAGAAAGTAAAACAGAATGGAAGGAAACGCCCTGTATCCTAAATATTAATGTTAAAAACAGTCAGAATGATGATTTAAGTAGTGAACCTTTATTTTCTAATAATAAAACTCCTGAACCAGCCTCTCAGATGACTTCTGAACCACCTTCTGGTGTTCCGGCCTCTAACGATCTGAACTTTGGAGATTCGGCCTCTGGAATACTGGCCTTACCTGTTCCTGCCTCTAGTGGTCCCACTTCTGGTGATCCCACCTCTGATGATCGCACCTCCAGTGATCCCATCTCTGGTGAACCTGCCTCCAGTGAACCTGCCTCCAGTGAATCCGCCTCTGGTGAACCCACCTCTGTTGAATCTGCCTCTGGTGAACCTGCCTCTGGTGAACCCGCCTCTGATGAACCCGCCTCTGATGAACCTTCCTCTGATGAACCCACTTCCGGTGATCTGGCCTCTGATGATCCAGCCTCTGGTGATCTGGCCTCTAGTGATTTGCCGTCTGGTGATCTGTCCTCTGGACCATCAGCCGCTAGCGGACCGATCTCTGATGAACTGGCCTCTGATGAACCAGCCTCTGATCAACCAACCTCTGGAACACTGGTTTCTGATGATCAAACAGCCTTTGAACCAAGTACTATACCAGTTTGTGAAGCAGTTCCTGAAACTACAGAGCCTAGTAGCAATAAAGATGATGATTTTCTTGAAAATAATAGGGATGATGAAAAGTTAGACCAAATTCAAAGTAAGGACTCATTTGAAGAGAAAAATAATGGTGATAGTAATACTGATGCTAATGAAGAAACTCCAAAAACAGATGAAACAACTATTTGTTCAAATCTACCTCCTGAAAATGAAAAGAAGGTAGAGGAAGATGGTATCCTAGAGCTTGCTCTTGGAGAAGAGGCTATATCTAGTAGTATGGAACTTGATCAAGGTGAAAAGAATGAAGATGAAAATTCTTCAGACCTTGCAGAAACCATTAATGAAAATGTTATAGAAGATGACAAAAATGAGAATATATTAGAAAACACAGATTCCATGGAGACAGATGAAATTATTCCTATTTTGGAAAAGCTTGCACCTGCTGAAGATGAACTTACTTGCTTCTCTAAAACGTCTCTCCTTCCAATTGATGAGACAAATCCAGATTTGGAAGAAAAAATGGAAGGTTCTTTTGGATCACCATCTAAACAAGAAAGTAGTGAGAGTTTGCCAAAAGAAGCCTTTTTGGTCCTCTCTGACGAAGAGGATATTTCAGGTGAAAAAGATGAGTCTGAAATTATATCACAAAATGAGGCATGCTCTCCAGGTTAGCAGATTATTTAAATTTTAAAGATTTTGTTTAGTAAAATGTTTTTAAAAACATCCTCATCAAGTGTTAAAATTCTTTTAGTCGCAGAGAGAAAAAGTTGAGAATGGTGGTGACTAGAAGGATCTCTTAACTTCACAGAATTTGAGTTACAAAGTACCCACTCTGTGAGCAGCATTGTGCTGAGTGCTACGAAGGGACATGAGAAAAGTAGAAATTGCCCTTATTTCTCTTGCCTTTAAGGGATTTAAGGGATTTATAGTCTAGAAAGAGATAAGCTGGACCAACATGACATTATTAGGTAACAATTTCATGCCAGTACATAATGATCAAAGTCATAACAATTGTTCTTTCTCGCTATCACTTTGCAGTCAGATAACTTAGGATCTAAAAACCTAGTGATTTAGTTTAATTGCTTCAAGTTTAGTAAATCATGTTTTCAATTCATCTTACTAATGAAATATGATTCTTTAATATTCTTTGTCCAGGAAATGGCACCACTGTTGGCACGAAGTCAGAAACTTTGGGGCTATAGTATTCATTTGATAAAGAATTTATTCATTTGGTTCTTTAGTCCTCTTTATAGTCTGTCTAACCTCTTCCCTTCCACCTCATCTTCTGAATGATCTCCCTGTAACTCATATTTTTTAAAATTTGATTAATTCTGTCCCTTTTATTAGATTTCTATTACTTTTAGGTTAATTCCAAACTCCTTATATAAAAGTAATATAAACTATGGTCTGCTCAATGCCTACCTCTCCTATCTCTTTTATTATTCCCAGAGGAAAAGGAGACAATGAGAAAAATCGTTCTTTGCTTTCATGGTCAAACTCAAATATCATTCCTGTATGAAACTTTCTCACCCCTCTTCAGACTTGGGTGACTATCTCAATCTTCCCATTGTATCGCATTCTGTTAGACCTGGCGCTCCATGAGAAGAGTGATCTTGTTAGCATGAACCACATCTGGTTTCTAGTTTGTTCAAATTAAAAAAAAGGAGGCAGGCTTAGGAGAGAGAGACAAGAGAAAATCTCTTCTCCAATATATCATACATATTAGCTTTTAGAAAGAGAGTTTTTTTTTTTTTTTTAATTTAATTTTATTAAAGGCTGATTTCATTTCCAAAGGGCATTCATTCATTCACCAAAGCTATTTGGAGGGACAGGCTAGCCTTTTCTTGGTTTTTGGAATTTAAAGGTCAAATTCAGTACTTGCCTTCAGGATGCAGCCAAGAATTAAACCACAGGTCATTAATTATAATTTGATGAATACAGTGAATAATGTTCTGAGAGTTTAGAGTAGAGAGTAATTTTATGAGAGCACAAGATGTATTCAGGGCAATGCTTGCCTGTCAGTTTACTGCAATTAATCCCTCTTAATAGCAACTCCATCATTTTACTTGCTAAGGCCAAAAGCTTTGGAGTAATTTTTATTGGCTTCTCTCCTATCCCATATCCAGTTCATTAGAAAATCTTGTTGGTTCTACCTTCAGAATAGATCTAGAATCCAATGTGTTCTTACCACCTTAACTGCTGTCCATCCTGCTTTAAGCCACCATCATCAGGTCAAAACAGTGCCTGGCACAAAATCAGTGCTCAGTAAGTATTTGTAGAGTGAATGAATGATTGATAATGCAAGAGTGGTATATCATGAAGGACCTTAGTTACAATGCTGAAGCATTATGATGCCATTGAAAGACTTTAAGCAGAGGAAAATGATATGATGAAATTTCCATTTTAGAAAGATAATAGGCTACAAGGTTTGGGGTAAACTTTATTCATTCAATAAATATTTATATAGAGGGTGGCATTGGGGCAAGACCTTTAAAAAGCCTTATGGCAGTCTGTTTAAGAAAGGTATTGCAAATTGCAGCTTGTGCAGCTATTTCATGAGTTTACAAATTTTACCCTAGTCAGAATGTTGGTATTGGAGACCATCCCACACAATGCTATTAAATATAGACAGGTGAATATTAAGCCATCCATGTGACATATTTTGAAAAGTTCGAAGTTGAGTTTAATTTTGGTACTTGCCTTTAGATTTTTATCCTCATGGTATGCAGTGTAAATTTATGGTATTAGCAGGTTAAGTTTAGTTACATGTTTAATTTCTTAGTTGGTAACTAAACTTTTATTTTGTTTGTGTGTTACCCCTCTTCTCAGAAGGAAATTTTGTGTCCTGTGGGTTTAAGTGTGGTTTCTTCATTGATTCTTAGACTAGACCCCACTTTCTTTATATGGCAACAGAATCTGTTGCTTGTCATTGTGTTGCTGTGCGCCTGTTGAGGTGATACTTTTATCAGGTTCTTTATTCTTGACTAATTTTTAATCTCTCAGAACACAGAATTACAAATTATACAAGCGTAGCTAGTAACTTTTATGTGTTATACTAATGATAGAAACATCATAAACCTATCATTTTCACGCACTTCTTTAGTAAATTTGTTTTGAATGTACCTGTTGGGATGAGTATGAGCAACAACCGCCTCCTCCCTCTCCCCCTAAAAAGGCTATCAGAAATCAAATAGAAGGACTAATTTAATTTTACAAAAATAGAAGAAAAACCTAAAAGAGTGTTGCAGATATACTTCAGTAGACCCTGAAATGTTATCATTTTGTAACATAGTATTGTGTAACTGATGCTCACTAAATGATTAAAATTATAGCCTTTTTCAGAAGGCTTGGGAAATAACATTTCTTTCTCTAGGAAAAGTCAAACAACAATAGAGGTGGCACACATTGGTCATGTCTTCCGTGTAACTGCCAAGTTTTTTCCATCAACTATACGTGCTCTTCTAGTTATTATTTCATCTTTTTCCTCTTTGGGAGCCATTCTTCAAGTTATGTTAACAAAGCTAGGACTGTTTCTTCTCCTATTAACTCTTCAACTTACTGGATTTTGATTTTCACCTAATTGTTGTCAGTGAGGTGACATTGATGTCCGTGTTGTTAAATGCAGGAGCATCTTTTCTTTGTCTTTGGTGTTTTCTCAAACTTGGATGACCTCTTAATAACAGTCTTCCCTCCTTCAGGTGACATTGATGTCCGTGTTGTTAAATGCAGGAGCATCTTTTCTTTGTCTTTGGTGTTTTCTCAAACTTGGATGACCTCTTAAGACTCTGCTTAGATTTTGGGCAACTGCATTTTCCATTTTTTTCCCTTTTTTTGCCCCTCTCATTTTATTTCTGGTGGCTATTGCTCCTCCATCTGCTGCTGCTACTTTTTTTTTTATTTAACATTTTTGAGGAGAAAAATCTGTTTTAGAGTAAACCAGATTTTACATTATGAACTCTGGCTTAGTTTTCTTCTAGATTTTATTTCAGATTTAAAAATATCTTGTTGATTTTCTTCTGTCTTGTTCATTGGATCTTTAAGATAAATACGATGAACGTAAAAGGATGCTAATGAGAATAATTGCATGGGAATAGAATTGAAGGTTTCCCTCTATTTTTGCTTTAGGTTGGTAGTGATAGCATTAACCTAGTTCAGTCAATTTTACTGATAATTTCTATTGTGTTCAGTTAAAATTCTTTATTATCTCAAGCCATCTATATTTGACTATGTATGGATTTGGCTTTTCTTTATGGAATACCTTTTTTTTGTTTTTTTTTATATTGGGCTTTAAGTGAATTTACAGTTAAGTCAGTTTCTCATGCGAAAATTTATACACACATTTCTGTGTGACCCTAGCTGCTTTCCATGTAATGTGGCAGCACATTCCTCCTTTCCAGCCCAGATTTCCCACGTCCATTCAACCAGCTCCTGTCCCTTTTTGCCTTCTGGTCTTCCCTTCCTTATGGAATATCTTATTCCTGTACTCACTCAACCAAACCCACAGCTGTCAAGTTGGTTCGGACTCATAGTGACTCCACAGGGTTTCCAAGGCTGTAAATCTGTATGGAAGCAGACTGCCACATCTTTCTCCTGTGGAGCTGCTGGTCATTTTGAACCACCAACCTTTCTGTTAGCAGTCAATCGCTTTAACCACCATGCAACCAGGACTCTTTTATTCCTGTATACTGGTCTCTAAATTGCAGGATTTTTCTTTTCAGAATTAAGGGAGACCAAAGATGAAGTAGGTTTGGGAAGGAGAATGTAGGTGGAAGATAAGTTTCAGATAACGATTGTCACTGAAGTTTGACTTATAAGCCTGCATTTCAAGGCAGAAACCTGGATTATATAGAAAATTTAAGAGTAGATAGCATATAGACATTAGTTGAAGTTGTGTGACTAGATGAGATCACCTCAGAGTGACTATAAATGGAGAAGAGAGGGAATTGAAGCAAAGACTGAGCTTCCTGTTTGCATTCCAGTGCTTAGAGGTTGGTGAGATAAGGAAGAACCTGCAAAGGAGACAAGAAAGAGCCACTGTTGAGATAGATTGAGGTGTCGTAGAAGTCAAGTAAAGAGACTATTTTAAGGAGGAGGGAGTAATTAACTCAGCTGTACTTATACTCTGTGAAATGCTGCTATGAGTTCAAGTAAGATGGAAGAGAAATGTTTAACGACCTGAAGATCATTGGTGATCTTGACAAGGTGCAGTTTTGGTGAATGGTGGAATTGAAAGCTTGATTAGGTTTTGGGTTGAAGAGAGAATGGGAGGAGAAGAATTGGACACAATAATATAATTTTTTTTTTATTTTGAGTTTTGCTTTAAAGGGGAGCACAGAAATATACTGAGGGAGATATTATTTGGAACTTTGTGATAGTTAAATAAAACTTTAAAAAATTGCTTGCTGGAAAATAAATCACATTACCAGTAATGCCACATTTTTCTAATATCTCTTGTGAGTTTGATAATATACACTTATTGACCATTTGTATTTCCTTATCTGTGAATTGCTTGTTTATCTCCGTTGCCCATTTTTCTGATGGGTATATTGTCTTTAATTAATTTGTAGAATTGTTTTATTTTAAATATTCTTGTGGAGCCCATAATCAAACACTGGGAGTTGGCCATCTATGGCCTGTGGCCTCTCTTGTGTTTGTAAATAAGGTTTTGTTGGAATATAGTCACACCCATTTGTTTCCATATTACTTATTATTTATGGATGATTCCTCCTTTGAGGAAATAATTGAGTAGTTGTGACAGAGACCATATGGCCCACAAGACTGAAAATATTTACTGTTTGGCCATTTACAGAAAAAGTTTGCCAACTTTTGATGTAAAGCAATAGTATTGTCATATTTCCTCGGAATAAAATTGTATAAGGTGTAATTATGAAAATGGGAGACTGACTCCTTAATGTAAGTTCTGTATTTTAATCCTCTACAACACAGTTTTTCTACGTTTAGTTAATGAGACCAACCGTATTAAAGATAACAGTGATTAGATCGGTATTAAGCGTCTGATTTGCCTAAAGTCTTTTCCAGAGTTACCAAAATTTTAAGGTCTGGTTTCTGCCCTTAGTGAGCCATTTGTCTAGTCTGGTTGAAAAGAAAGAATACCACAAATAAAACTGTTGTAATGCAGCTGTGTCTAAGACCACAGGACCTATCTGTGAATGAGGATGATTTTCTAAAAGCATCATCCTTAACCTGAGTATTTGGATGAGTCTGAGGAGTCCCAGGAACCACCTAAAATTGTATATAAAAATGCCTGTGTGCATGGACCTTTGGTTATTATTCTGGTTGAAGGAGGTCTACTTTCAGATTCTTTAGAGGCTTTGTGAACAAAAAATTTAAAGAAATATAGGGCCTTACCTCTCTTTGTACAATCTATTAATACCATTTTTCTTACCCAAACTTCTTAATACTACATGAAATTCTAGCATAATTTTAAATTCTGTGTATCTATTAAAAAATCCCAGTGAAAGTTTTAAGTGTTGAGAATTCAGTCATATCTTACCAACTTACCTGGAAAATGGGACTTGGGTGCTGGAAGGAAGTTTTTGAGTAAAACGAAGGAAGCTCAAGCTAAGCTTGACATGTCTGTAGTGGAAAGGCAGCTAACGTGCATAAAAGAAGCAGACCAAACAAGGCCAGTTGACTCTGTTGTGTTCTGAGGACTCTGGCTTGAAGTTATCCTGATTGGAGCCATAGCTAATTTTGTGCTTTTACTGGTGTGAGGATTCGCTAAATAAAGGCTATGCAAACTTTTTTCGTCTCAAGTAACCCAGTTACTTTGTGTCTTTGGAACCTCTGTGGGGACTTAGAAGCTTTGGAGTCACCAACCCTGAGTATTAAAATCTGGAAGATTAGGGGGGGAAAAAAAAAGTATGTATAGAAAGAAATGCTTCATAATATGCTTGTGATTTTCAAGAAAGCAAAAACAAATTTACATTTATTTTATTGAAACTAAGGATGAAGCATGAGATCTTAAAATGTTTCTAATGAGCAAAGGGTGATAACTGGAAAATTTTATAATATGCACTGTTTGTTTTAAAATTAAAAAAACGTTTTTAGTTATCTTTACTCAGTTAGCTTTATTTAGCGTGAAAAAAATATTTGTAAGAGCCTCAATAGGTTCATCAGTGATCCTGTTCTCTATGCCTATTTTCATTTAAAAGGTCTTTTTAATTATTTTAACCTTGACTTCTGCCCTCAGGGCCATTGGGATGAAAGCCCTAGAGTTCAGAGAAGTGGTGTCATATCTTTATGTATGCTATATACCTGTGATTGCTTATTTAATATTAGTTAGAGGATACAAGGAAACGTAGCATACTTTATGGAAGCCACTGGGAAGCGAATTGTAGTGATATATAAGGGGAAAAAAACAGAAATCCAAATGTATTACTGATTTGTTGTAAATATTCCCTACCCCCAATTTAATGATTAGGTTATTTGAGGAGTTAGAGGTTGATTTACTAAAGGCCATTTCTAATACCTCTGGGATTTTATTTGTAGTAAAAGAATGCAGGTGTGAGACATTTTTAGCAGTATGTTTTTGGTAGTACTCTTTCATTGATACGTTTAGTACTACTGTTTCCTCCAGTATCTTTTTACAACTGCTTAAAATAAGGCATCATGGTGTAGTAGAAAATACATGGATTTTACATTTGAATTTCCTTCCTAACTAGTTATGTGACCTTGTGAAATTACTTAACCTTTGTGAACATTAGATTCCTCGTCTGTGTGATGGCAAAAAATACTGTTCACAGTGCAGGATTATAATGAGGACATGAAGTGATACAGGTTAAGCACCTAGTTCAGTTGTTGGCACTGGTGTCAAAAGTAGCTATTAATTTTTAAGTGAAACTTTTATTATTTCTAGGATAGCTTTTCCATTCCTCTTTTATGAACTATCCTTAAACTAGTCAAGTAACTTAATGATTCAGCCTGTTGGGTCAGTATGTTAGGTGTTTTGAGTTTTCAGTGGTTTGTATTTTTGTAATTGTCACAACCACTGCTTTAATCTTTAATAATTGAATGTTAAGAAATCTAAGTGCTTTTGTAGTGTTATTTTCACATTTTATTAATCTTATGGCGACAGTAAATTACTAAGATTCTTTGTTTTAAAATCTATACTACGAATAATTTTTTTCTATATGAAAAGTTTATTATGAATTTACAGAAATATTTGGAAAGTAGACTTGGCCATTCATTTCTGCCAGTTGATGCTCCCTCTTTATTCTCAAAATGTCATATTTTAGGACTCTGATTTCATAAGATTATTATCTGAATAGTTACCAAAAATGTAAATTTTAATGAGCTGTTATGCATTCCAATGGAAGTAAGATTTTCTTTTCTATTTTTGTTGCAGCAGAAGTAGAAGGAAATGAAAAGGACAGCAAACCTGAGGAAGACGAGCAAGTAATACCTGAAGAAGATGAAAGACCTTCTGAGAAAAGTATGCATGTACAAACCCAGCTTGAACTAGTTTGAAAATCAGTCCATTGTTTCTGGTTTTAAGGCCATGGAGTATTTCTGTCCATGAGATAATTGTAAAACTTTGCAGTTTAATTAAGCCACAACTAAATCATTATGTTGATGGCTAACCCAGGGATCTTTGAAAGTATTAATTATCTCATATACTTCAGTGTTTATTTTATTTATACATTTCAGTGTTCCACAAGAAAGATTTAAGATTAATGTTTAGTAAGCTACTGTCAGACTGTCTTGAGAAAAATCGTTAAATTTACATTTAGAGCATTGGACTGTAAGGTTTTTGTCTGGCCCGATATGTGTTTCAGTCTATTTAGGTTCTTAAGCTTCGCAGGAAGGGGAAATGATGGGGCTGAGTATTGTTAGGTTTATAGGAAAGATAACTGGACTAGAAATCAGGAAACCTACTACTCTCCGTGTATGACCATGGGTAAGTCATTTGAATATAAGAGAAGTTACAGAGTAGATCTGGATTAATAAATAGGCACATAGATATATATGTAGTGAGAGGGAGAGAGATAGGTATGGTCAGATAAAGGCATTTGCCTTTTAAAAAATGTGGAGATTTTAGTAATTTTAGATACTGAAACAAAACTAGATAAAATTTGCTTATGATCTTATGAATATTACCAGTGTTTGAATAGAAATTTTTAAAGTGAAGATCTTTGAATGTCTGTTCTTTACCAAATGTACTTTTTTAATGACATAATAATTTTATTACTTTTATATATTTGAAATTCATTAGGCTGTGTTAAGAATAACTGTTACTATGTTATTTTCCTAAGGCTGATTAAGTAAGAATTTTTCCTACATTTTACTGAGGAGGAAGAATTAAATAATTAAAGCTATGCACAGTTACTAGAAATTTATGACAAGAGAATAAATACTGTATTTTATCAGAGGATTCATGTGCATTATGAAATTAAGCATAGGGAATGAATATGAAATGATTTCTTCCCCCTTATGAATAACACAATTGTTAGGCAACTCCATCTTACTGTTAAGATTTCAAGGAAAGAATGTTCTGTGTTCACATTCTACATTGTTTAGTCATTAGGAAGCTCTTATGTATATATTGAAAATCATTTCAAGTTTAATGCTAAAAGCCACTTACCTGTTTTTCAAAAAGAATACATAAAATGAATATGTTAAAAAATTACGTAAAATAATTGTATACATAAAATAATTGGTTGAGAATGCTATTGTGATAGATAGAAGCGATATTTTGATGAGGATGGAGAATAGGCATTAAGGCTATAAGAAAAATACCTGCCTAATCATGCTTTTTGTTCTCAGATGAATTTTCAAGAAGAAAACGTTCTAAGTCAGAGGACATGGACAATATACAGTCCAAACGCCGTCGATACATGGAAGAAGAATATGAGGCAGAATTTCAAGTAAAGATTACAGCCAAAGGAGACATTAACCAGAAACTACAAAAGGTATTATCTATTACAAGTTAAAATAAAAAGTATCATAGTCTTTATTTTTCTAGATCTTTGAAATTATTCTGTATTTTACTGACATTCAGGTTTATCATAAAAAGAGAGAGAGCTTGAAGAAAGTGGTTGAGCTTGTAAAGTCTATTTTTATCCTTGATAATTTAATTTTAAAATGTATTCTGACATTTATGGCTACATAGGTGTTTTAGGAGATGATAGTGATTATGGAAATAAAAGGGAGATAGATCTTCTTTCTTTACTTTAATAAAAGAACTGAATATAAGTTTTCAACTTTTCTCTTCATATTGAACTTTCTTTAGTGAAAAGGGAGCACTAGAGTCTCACATATTAATGTTTTAGTCTTTATCATAAGGTAGTTTCATTGTTGTAAGTCCCTACATTCTGAAATACTGGTTATGTGCCTTAGCATAGTATTAAAAATCATAGGGGCAAGGCTTTAGAAGGACTAGGGAAGAGGGACCACCACGTGCCTATCAGTTTGTCCTACTGTGGTGGCTTGTGTGTTGCTGTGTTACTGGAAGCTTTGCCACTGGTATTTCAAATACCAGTAGGGTCACCCTTGGTGGACAGGTTTCAGTGATGCTTTCAGACTAAGACAGACTAGGAAGAAGGACATGGCAGTGACTTCTGAAAAAATTGACCAGGGAAAACCTTATGAATAGTAGTGGAACACTGTCTGGTATAGTGCCGGAAGATGAGCCCCTCAGGGTGGAAAGCACTGAAAATACGACTGGGGCAGAGTTGCCTCCTTAAAATAGAATTGACCTTAATGATGTGGATGGAGTCAAGCTTTTGGGAACTTCATTTGCTGAGGTGGCATGACTCAAAATAAGAAGAAACAGTTGCAATCATCCATTAGTAATCGAAACTTGGAATTTATAAAGTATGAATCTAGAAAAATTAGAAGTCATCAGAAATGAAATGGAACATATGAACATCAATATCGTAGGCATTAGTTAACTGAAATGGACTGGTATTGGCCATTTTGATTCAGTCATATGGGAATGATTATGCTGGGAATGATAAATTGAAGAGGAATGGCATCACATTTATCGTCAAAAAGAACATTTCAAGATCTGTCCTGAAGTACAACGCTGTCAGTAGTAGGATATTATCCGTAAGTCTGTAAGGAAGATCAGTTAATACGACTATTTTTCAAATTTGTGAACCAACCACTAAGGCCGAAAATGAAGAAATTGAAGATTTCTGCCGACTTCTGCAGTCTGAAATTGATCAAACATGCTATTGAGATGCATTGATAATTGCTGGCAATTGGAATGCAAAAGTTGGAAACACAGAAAAAGGATCTGTAGTTGGAAAATGTGGCCTTGGTGATAGAAATGACACAGGAGATGGCATGATACAGTTTTGCAAGACCAACAGCTTCTTCATTGCAAATACCTTTTTTCAACAACGTAAATGATGACTATACACATGGAACTCACCAAATGGAATACACAGGAATCAAATCTACTACATCTGTGGAAAGAGACAATGGAAGAACCCAATATCATTGGTCAGAACAAGACCAGGGGCCAATTCTGGAACAGACCATCAATTGCTCATATACAAGTTCGAGTTAAAGAAAATTAGAACAAGTCCGTGAGAGCCAACGTATGACCTTGAGTATATCTCACCTGAATTTAGAGACTATCTCAAGAATAGATTTGATGTGTTGAACACTAATGACGGAAGACCAGACGAGTTGTGGAATGATATCAAGAATATCATACGTGAAGAAAGCAAAAAGTCATTACAAAGACAGGAAAGAAAGAAAAGACCAAAATGGATGTCCGAAGAGACTCTGAAACTTGCTCTTGAATGTAGAGTAGCTAAGCAAAAAGAAGAAATGATGAAGTGAAAGAGCTGAACAGAAGATTTCAAAAGGTGGTTCGAGAAGACAAAGTAAAGTGTAAGGAAATGTACAAAGACCTGGAGATAGAAAACCAAAAGGGAAGAACACACTCAGCATTTCTCAAGCTGAAATAACTGAAGAAACATTCAAACCTCGAGTTGCAATATTGAAGGGTTCTACAGGGAAAATATTAAGCGAGGCAGGAAGCATTGAAAGAAGACAGAAGGAATACACAGAGTCACTGTACCAAAAAGAATTGGTCGACTTTCAGCCGTTTTAGAAGGTAGCATGTGATCAAGATCCGATGGTACTGAAGGAAGAGATCCAAGCTGCACTGAAAGCACTGGTAAAAAACAAGGCTCCAGGAATTGACGGAATACCAACTGAAAATTTTCGACAGACGAATGCAGCACTAGAAGTGTTCATATGTGTATGCCAAGAAATTTGGAAGACGGCTTCCTGCCAACTGACTGGAAGAGATCCATATTTGTCCCCATTCTGAAGAAAGTTGATCCAACAGAATGCAGAAATTATTGAGCAGTATCGTTAATATCACACACAAGTAAAAGTTTACTAAAAATCTTTCAAAACATCGTCAGGGAACTACCAGAAATTCAAGCCAGGTTCAGAAGAGGAAGTGGAACAAGGGATATCATTGCTGATGTCTGATGGATCGTGGCTGAAAGCAGAGAATATGAGAAAGATATTTACTTACGTTTTGTTGACTATACAAAGTCATTCAACTGTGTGGATCATAACAAATTATGGATAACATTGCAAAGAATGGGAATTCCAGAACACTTAATTGTGTTCATGAGGCACCTGTACATAGACCAAGAGGCAGTCATTTGAACAGAACAAGGGGATACTGCATGATTTAAAGTCAAGAATGGTGTGTGTCAGGGTTGTATCCTTTCACCATACTTATTCAATCTGTATGCTGAGCAAATAATCCAAGAAGATGGACTGTATGAAGAAGAACGTGATGTCAGAATTGGAGGAAGACTCATTAACAACCTGCATTATGCAGATAACACAACCTTGCTTGCTGAAAGTGAAGAGGACTTGAAGCACTTACTGATGAAGATCAAAGACCATAGCCTTGAGTATGGGTTATACCTCAACATAAAGAAAACAAAAATTCTCACAACTGGACCAATAAGCAACATTATGATAAATGGAGAAAATACTGAAATTGTCAAGGATTTCATTTTACTTGAATCCACAATCAACCCCTATGGAAGCAGCAGCCAGGAAATCAAACGATGCATTAGATTGGGCAAATCTGCTGCAGAAAACCTCTTTAAAGTGTTAAAAAGCAAAGATGTCAGTTTAAGGACTGATGTGCACCTGATCCAAGCCACGGTGTTTTCAGTTGCCCCATGTGCATGCAAAAGCTGGACAACTGAATAAGGAAGACCGAATAAGAATTGTTGCCTTTGAATTAAGGTGTTGGTGAAAAATATTGAGTATACCATGGACTGACAGAAGAACAAACAGTTCTGTCTTGGAAGAAATACAGCCAGAATGATCCTTAGAAGCAAGGATGGTGAGACTTCTCACATACTTTGGACATGTTATCAGGAGGGACCAGATCCTGGAGAAGGACATTATGCTTGGTAAAGCATAGGGTCATTTAAAGAGACGAAGACTCTCAATGAGATGGATTGACACAGTGACTGCAACAATGGGTTTCAACATAATAACGATTGTGAGGACGGTTCAGGACTGGGCAGTGTTTCGTTCTGTTGTATATAGGGTTGCTGTGAGTCAGAACCAACTGGACGGCACCTAACAAGAACAGGGAAAAGGAATATTTGGACTTTGGAACCTTCCCCCCTGTATGTTAGACTATAGATGAAAATCATGGAAATAAAAGTATGTTCAGACACATATTTATAATAAACACCTACGTTTAGAGAGGGATATGAAACTCAGGTGAAGTTAATTTTTTAGTGTCTTATATATTTAATGATGAAATTAAAAATTAAGTTTTAGGCCAGTGTTCTTTCACTAAGATACAGTACAAATATCCATACACTAGAAAAAGGAATAGTGAAGCAATTAAAATAGTGACTTTTTTTTTTCTCTCAGTTTCTTTTTTTTGTGCTGTGGAGATAATAATGCTTATTTAGTCCTTCTGATCGAGCTGTTAGTATTTAAAGGTAGTTTTGTGAAAGAAGTTTGAAAATTTTTTTGTATAAAAGTCATGTCTGCCTTGTGTATAAAAAACCAAACCCGTTGCGATCGAGTCGGTTCGTTCCACTTGTGTCGACTGACTAGGAAAGAGTAGAACCGCCCCGTAGAGTTTCCAAGGCTGTCATCTTTACGGAAGTTGACTGCCACTTCTTTCTCTTGTGCAGCAGCTGGCGGGTTTAAACTGCTGACCTTTTGGTTGGCACCTGAACGTGTAACCAGTGTGCCACCAGGGCTCCTTTTGTGTATAGTGAGGGTTTCCTCCTCTAGATCAGTGTTACTGAAATGTGCTTCATAGACAAGCACCAGTCTCCTTTTTGTTTTGGGTCCATGATGAGATAAATACAGAAATTGAAAAGAGGCATTTTAGAAATATTTTATAGAAATTTAATAATGTAGTGATACTCTTAGTGTATCCCACAAAAATACCGATCTGCAGTAGATTAGAAAATTTAAAAACTGGTCCTTTCCTTTAATTTTTTTTTTTTTTAATGGTTTGAGAACAACTGCCCTAGAGCATCAACACTAAGGGGTGTTGGAAGAAAATATTAAAACTTTAATTTCAAATTGTTTTTAAAATTTTACTCTCTGGAAATTTCTGTTTTTAGTATCTATTACTCTTTTGAGGTAAATATGTGGAAGCTGTGAATTTCAGCACGTAGCATTGCATTATGGATGCCAGCGTGTTTTCTTCATTAAACTGATTAATACATTATTACTATCTTATCAGTACTTTTCAATGTTTGTTGTTTGCTACATAGTGCATTGCCCTCTGTGCTAGTAACAAAGGAATATATATTTTTTTAGGTTGTGCAGTGGTTGCTGGAAGAAAAATTGTGTACACTACAGTGTGCTGTATTTGATAAGACTTTGGCAGAATTGAAAACACGAGTGGAAAAGATTGAATGTAACAAGAGGCATAAAACAGTTCTTACTGAACTACAGGTTTGTATGCTGACTTGAATTAGATACTCATCATTTTTATAAACTTATTTTCTGTAATATAGTTTGAAGTTGACTATAAAACACATTTACCGTATCTTTATGCAAATAACATGTGACTTCTGCAAATAACATGTGACTTCTGCGTTTGTTTGCTGACTGCTCCCTCCCCTCAAGAAGTATATTCAGAAGTGCCACTATGCCAGTTTTTTTTTTAATGTTACTTTAAAAAAAAATTAGCATAGTGCACTTATGAATATAGGTCATGGAGGGAGGGAGTGATTGGCAAACAAATATAGAAGCCATGTGTTATTTGTGTAAAACTAAGATAAATTCTAAATTATAGAAGTAGAAGGAGCTCGTGAGAGTGAATATCTGCTCTCTCATGGTAAGTGCATCCCCTGGGAACATGGAAGCTCTGCACTGAGACCCTGCCTGGACCTTGTCCTGTGTGTTTGTATCCTTTTTTGGGGGTGGGGGGGGAGGAGCTAGGTGAAGGATAGCCCTTTACATTCCAACGGATTCTGAGACCTAAGAAAGAGAAAGGGGCCAGTACATGCTGACCTAACCCTGGGTTAAATGGGGATGAGAAAGAGAAAAGGGCTATGCTGGCAGCTAGGGTCTGGACTGACCAGAGAAAGGAAGCTGAGATTTCTACAGGCTGCAGTTGGTGTATGGAGTGGGATTTGTTATCCACGGCACATTTGGCATGAGATTTGGATGGTCTCAGCCTCCCTGGACTGGTTTGATACAGCTGGAGTGGTTGGCTGGAACTGCCAGAATCAACCCTGACTTTACAGTGTTTCTAAAGGTTTTTTTAAATTACTTAAGAAAGGCTGTCATTTACTATGTTATATGCATTAATGAATACTCAATAATACGTGTTAAAGAGAGATTCTGTTTATATTAATCTACTTCCTCATTAACTTAGATTATTAGTTTACTAATCCATATTTATCAGTAAATACTGTTTTTCATTTTTATTAAATATGAAAAACCAGCCAGTTGCCATCAAGTAGATTTCATCTCATAGTAACCCCACATAATGTCAGAGTGGAACTGTGCTTCATAGGATTTTTAGTGGCCGATTTTTCAGAAGATTGCTGGGTCTTTCTTCCGAGACAACTCTGGGTAGGCTCAAACTTCCAGCTTTTCAGTTAACAGTCAGCTGTGTTAACCATTTGCACCGCCTGGGGACTCCTTGTTAAATATAGTTATATAAGGGGGAATCGACTCAGTGGCAACTGGTCTGGTTTTTTATATATTAAAATACATTTGTCAGAGTTTTAGCTGAAATGAGCACATGATAACATGCTGTTTCATTTTAAAGCATATAATTCGGTGACGTTTAGTATATTAAGTGTTGTGTATCACTTCTGTCTAGTTACACAACATTTTCATCATCCAAAAGGGAACATTGTATCCATTATGTAGTCACTTCCCATCTCCCTTCTTCCAGCACTTTATAACCACTCGTCTGCTTTCTATCTTTATTAATTTTTTGTGTATTTTACATACATGGAATCACACAGTATGTGACCTTTTCTGTATGGCTTCTTTCATTTAATGGTTTTGAGGTTTATGTAGCATATATCAGAACTTCATACCTTTTTTTTGCTCAGTAATATTCCATTATATGGATATACTACAGTTTGTTTATCCATTCCTTAGTTCATGGTCGTTTGGCTTGTTTTTCTATCTTTTGGCTATTGGGAATAGTGCTGCTGTGAACGTTCGTTTACAAGAATTTGTTTGAATACTGTTTTCAATTCTTTTAAATTTATAACTAGGCATGGAATTGTTGGGTCAGATGGAAATTGTACGTTTAACTTATTGAGGAGCCACCAGACTGTTTTCCACAGTGACCGCATCATTTTACATTCCCACTAGCAGTATACGAGGATTCCATTTTTCACATCCTTGGCAACAGTTTTTATTTCTCCCTTTTTTTTTTTTTGTTATGGCCATCATAGTGGGTATGAAGTAATATCACGTTGTGGTTTTGATTTGCGTTTTCCTAATGACTAATAGTGTGGAACATCTTTTCAGGTGCTTCTTGGCCATTTGTGTATCTTCTCTGGAATAATGTCTATACAAGTTATTTGCCCATTTTTTTAATTGAGTTGTTTATCTTTTTGTTGTTGAATTGTGAGAGTTCTTTATCTATTTTGGGTTCTAGACCCTTATCAGATATATACTTTGGAAATATTTTTTCCTATTCTGTAGTTTTCTTGTCACTTTCTTGATAGTGTCCTTTGATACATACAAGTTTAAAATTTTGATGAAGTCCATTTTATCTTTTTTTTAATTTGTTGCTCATGTATTAGCATCATATTTAAGAATTATTTGCCAAATCTACTGCCAAATGTTTTCTTCTTCTATGAGTTTTATACTTTAGCTCTTATATTTAGGTCATTGATCCAGTTTGAATTAATTTTTGCATGTAGTATGATGTATTATTTCATTATTTTCTGTATGGATATCCAGTTGTCCCAGCACCATTTTTTGAACAGACTGTTCTTTCCCCATTGAATAGTCTTGGCATCCTTGTAGAAAATCAATTAACAGTAGATGTATGAGTTTATTTCTGGGCTTTCCATTCTATTCCGTTGATCTGTATGTCTATCCTTGGGTTAGTACAGTAGTAGCTGCACCTTATCTGCGGTTTTCCTTTCTGTGGTTTCCGTTACCTGCAGTCAGTCGCTGTCTGAAAACGTTAAATGAATACATATTGTGGTGAAATCTTGCACCATCCTGCTCTGTTGTTCATGTAACTTTTATTATAGTATATTATTGTAATTGTTCTATTTTGTTATTAGTTGTTGTAAATCTCTTACTGTGCCTAATTTATAAATTAAACTTTATCATAGCTATGTATGTATAGGACAAAACATAGTATATATAGTGTTTGGTATTATCTTTGGTTTCAGGCATCCACGGGGGGGCGGGTTCTTGGAACATTTCCCCTGTGGATAAGGATGGGCTACTGTATATCACTCTTTCGATTACCGTAGTTTTTGTATGAGTTCTCCAACTTCCTTTTTCAAGGTCGTTTTGCCTAGTCTGGGTTTCCTGCAATTCCATATTAATTTTAGGATCAGCATTTCCATTTCTGGAAAAATGGTCATTATTGGGATTTTGATAGAGTTTGCACTGAATCTGTAGATCACTTTGGAGCGTATTGCTGTCTTAACAATATTAAGTCTTCCAATCCATAAACACAGGATGTCTTTACATTATTTGTTGTTGTTAGCTGCTGTCAAGTTAACTCCCCACACATAGCGACTCCATGCACAACAGAATGAAACACTGCCTGATCCTGTGCCATCCCCCTGATGAGTCATGGGTAGGACTCTTGTCATCCATAGGGTTTTTATTGGCTCATTTTCAGAAGCAGATTGCAAGGCCTTTCTTCCTAGTCCATCTTAGTCTGGAAGCTTCGCTGAAACTGTTCAGCATCGTAGCAACACGTAAGCAGGCCTCTGCTGACAGATGAGTGGTGGCTGTGCTTGAGGTGCGCTGGCCGGTAATCAGGCACAGGTTTCCCACATAGAAGGCAAGAATTCTGTCAGTGACCACCACTGCCACTTCCATTGTTTATGTCTTTAGTTTTTGTTAGTAATGTTTTGTAGTTTTCAGAGTTCTTTGTATATCTTGGATACAAGTCTTCTATCAGATAATGTGTTTTACAAAGATTATCTCCCAGTCTGTATGTAGCTTGTCTTTTCATTCTCTTACTGGTATCATTCACAGAGTAGAAGTTTTTGATTTTAACGAAGTCCACCGTAACAGTTTTTTCCTTTATGGATCGTGCTTTTGATGTTATATATAAAAAGTCATTACCAAACTTAAGATCACCTAGATTTTCTCCTGTGTTATCTTCTGGAAGTTGTGTAGCTTTGTATCTTACATTTAGGTCTATGATCTATTTTGAGTTAATTTTTTGAAAGATGTAAGTTGAGTGTCTAGATTCATTTTTTGCGTATAGATGTCCAGTTGTTCCAACACCATTTTTTTAAAAGACTATCCTTTCTGCCTTGGATTGCCTTTGGTTCTTTGTCAAGAATCAGTTGACTATAATTGTGTCTATTTCTGGGCTCTCTAATCCGTTCCATTGATTTATTTCTCTGTTCCTTCATCAGTACCACTCTGTCTTGAACACTGTACCTTTCTGATAAGTCTTAAAGTTGGGTAGTGTCTATCCTCTAACTCTGTTATTCTTCAGCATTGTATTGCCATTCTGAGTCTTTGGCCTTTTCATATAAACTTTAGAATCATTTTGTCATTATCCACAAAATAACTTTCTGGTATTTTGACGTTTTTTTAAAGTCTTCTAGTCCATGAACATGGAATATCTAAAGTCATTTTTATGATAGTGAATAATACTGGTTTTGAGTAATACTGATTTGCTGGGTGATACTTTTTTTCCACATGCTTTTGTGAAAGCCTAGTTTTAATTATTGGCTTCTTTTCTGCGTCCTGAAGAGACATTTTATAAGAGCTGAATACAGTTATCTACATTGGATGTATAGCTAAAGCTAATGGTGTGTATGAAAATAAAAGTATGGAACCTAGGGAATTAAGTAGTTATAGAAGTATAGTAACTTTTCTGTATAGTTCAGGGATTGGTTGCTTTCTGAATAGTGAAAAAAGTTATCTATATGTTTCGCTTTTCCAGAGATGTCAAATTGTAAGGTTAACCCCAACAATTATTTCCATGATTTTTTATTATTTTTTAAGTATTGATGTATACTTTTAGGATTATATGCCTTTGATACCTTGTCAGATAAGAACTTTAGTAGCTTTTAGGAAAATCCTAAAATGCACACAAATGTCATTTATTGTGGATCCAGTAACACCTCTGTAATGAAGTTAGAAATTAGCAACAAATGTCTGCCCCCAAAACAAACTTTTACATAATTGCAAAGTGAAATTAAAAGTGGAAATTATAGACTCTTTGGATCAGAAATGTAATTAAAGCACTGCATATTAAAACCTGTAGGTTAAAGACAAAGCAGTATTCATAGGAAAATTTATAACCTTAAAATCCGTTATTAACAAATAGAAAAGACAGAAAAACTTCTACGTGTTCGTCTCTATTGCTGGGGGGAAAAACAGCAGTGGCAAACTAAACCCCAGGCAGAAGGAAGAAGTTGATACCCAGAAATACTGTTTTTGAAGACTGAGCAATAAAGGTAATAGTTGATCATTTGAAAAGTCTTAAAAGTAAAAAAATCTTTGATCTAGAAATAGTGAGAGTAAATACAAATAAACTATATAAGAATTAAAAAAGAAACTACTAAGTAAACATCCAGAAGTGATTTCTAAAAATAAGAGAAAATTAGATACAACCATATGCCAGTGAAGTCCATCTTATCTAAGAAAATACATTTATAAGCTTGACCTAAAGGAAAGTAGAAAACTTAAAAATTTTTAGCAATTCTAGAAGTGGAAATTGTAGGCAACGGTCCATCTCAAAAGAAGTGATTGGACTCAGACTGCTTTACCAGAAAATTCTGACAAATCTTTTAGGAATAGGTAATTCACATTTCATAAAAACTGTTCTAGAGAGTAGGGAAAAATGAGACTTCATTTTATGAAGCAAACTGTAGTATCCTATAGCACAAGAAAAGAAAATACGTAGGCCAGTTTTACTTCGTAACATGGTTTTCTCTCGTCAATGAAAGGGATGGTTCAGAATTAACAATTATATTTCACTGTATTTAACAGAGGAAAGATGAACAATAATGTGATCTTTTCAGTAGATGCCAAGTGAGGATTTGTTAAAATTCACCAGCCATTCATGAAAAAAAATAGAGAAGTCACTTTAACCTCATAAAGGGTATCTGTCAGAAACCTTCTGTAAATAGAAAACTTTTGTATTAAATAGTGGATTGCTGGAAGTATTAACATTAAAGTTGAAAATAAAAGAAAGATGTCTGTTACTGATGCTGCTATTTAGAGCTGTGGTGACAATTTTGGACAATGCAGTAAGATGAGAAAAAGAAATTAATAATGATTGGTAGAAAGAGAACCCAAGAGAATTATCAAAAAGTTAGAATGAGAGAAGGAAAGTTAACAGCTACCTGATAATAAGGTTAAACAAGCAGTAACTAATTAGAAAGATAAGTTTCACATATGATAGTTATTTTAAAAAGTAAGTACATAAGAATAAACTCCCTCCCCTCCCGCCTAAAAAAGACAGTTTCAAGACCATTATGAAGAAAATGGACAGAATAAAAACCTGAGTTAACAAAGTTACACTGTCTTCCTAGATGAGAAGTCTTGATTTTCTTTCTCAGTTACTGGTTTAATTTTTTAAGTGATAATTCTTTTTGAAAAGAATTTAAATATTACAGAAGTTTATAAAGTCAAAGTGTAGTCCTTCGCCTTAACTCTCCCCCATTTCTAGCCAGTCCTAGCCTCTGGAGATAATCGCTGTTAACTTTAGTATGTATCCTTCTAGAATTTTTTCCATATATCTAACAACATGTACAAAAGATTGGTTTTCTTGTTGTTTTAATTTTTAAGTAAAAATAGAACAATACTGTACATACTTTGTAATTTTCAGAATACCCACCCAGATAACCTGACTAAAGAAAAAAAAGGAGTCATTCTTGGATAAGAATGGAATGCAGAAAACACTTTTCTGTATTATCTTTCTTGAAAAAGTTACTTGGAATATTTTAGTGACCAGAAAGGTAAATTCATATTAAGGATATAAAATAATGTTATATGTCTTTAGGTCTTGACAACATCTATAAATAACTATGCCCCGGGGAACATCTTCACCTTTGGGAGTCATAGGTGATTGATTGCCTAGGCCATATTAATGAACTTACATATCTTGTAAAGGATTCCCTGGGCATTGCAAGTGGTTAATGTGCTCCACTTCTAACCAAAAGATTGGAGGTTCAAGTCCACCTGGATGCATCTTGGAAGAAAGGCCTGGTGATGTACTTCTGAAAAATCAGCCGTCGAAAACCCTATGATGCACAGTTCTACTCTTGACACACAGAGGGTTGCTGTGAGTCAGAACTGAGTTGACAGCAACTGGTGGTTTTAATACTGCAGGGTTTGGAGTCTCCTTTAGAAGTGACTCCTTTCTGAAAGAAACCTTAAAAACTGGTAATATCATTTTCTTATAATGGATAAAAGAAATTTTCTGGAGAAGCTCTTCATCCTGTTTCAGAAGTTTAGTTTTAATATTCTTGAAAATGTTTAATGCACAACAACAAACAGACGATTGAGTATCACTTCTGTGCCTTAAAGACTGAAAGGAAATACAATAAAAGACGTGTTGGTATGATAATTTTTCTTTCATCATCCCCTCCACCTCACTTTTTTTCCTGCTCTTTTTTAAAAAAAATTTCTTACATTTCATTTGACTGTGTATTCGGGCAAAATATATGACTAGGCAGTTTATATATAAACTGTTTAAGTGATTAATAATATTGAAGATACACTAAATTTTACTAACAAATGTTAACACTGATAACATTTTTATCATATCGCTAAATACTGATAGAATATGAAACAAAATATTCCAAAGAGTAGTATTATATGAGTACTCATTTACACTGCTATTGAAAGTGTAAATTTGGCAAAGCCTTTCTGAAAAGCATTTGGACAAGAGTCTTAAAAATATGCTCTATCCCAGGAATTCCATTTCTGTCATGTACTCTAAGGCTATAACCTGAAAGAAGAAGAGTTGTAGATGTTCACTGCAGTATTTTTTCACAATAGCAGGACATTGAAAATCATTCTACCTATCCAGTAGGAAGGAGAGTGTGTAAATAATGGTTCGATACAATATTATTCATATAGCCATAAATAGTATTGACAGTATCTTTTATGACCTACAGATATGTTCACTGTTTAATTCTCAGTGAGAAAATTGTGATTACAACTGTGTTTAAAAATTAATACAAAACATAAGGATACATATTCAGAAATATACTGGTGTGTAAGCAAACACCAGTTCTAGGAGGAAAAAAGCTAGCCTTCAGATTAGTAATGTTTACCTCTGAGTATTGGGATCAGGGGTCGTTTTACATATATAGTAAAACCTGTGAAAGCTGGAACTCGTGTAAGGTGGAAACCTGTCACAGAAGGAGAGCTCATATTTTCCACTAATAGAGAGCAATGGAAAAGTGTTCAGATTGCACCCTGTCAAAGGTGGAAAACTTGCGAGACCTGGAAAAACAAGACAGTCCCCTTGAGTTCTGGCTCATAGGTTTCACTGTATATTTTAAAATCAGCTTAGCATATTTTCTTCAGTCAGTGGATACTGTTATGTGTGGTTTTCTAGTTATAACGCACAGGTTCTTTTTTAATACTGAAAATGACATTTGATTTCTGTTTTATTTTTGTTTTTTTTAGGCCAAGATAGCCAGGTTAACCAAACGGTTTGGAGCAGCCAAAGAAGATCTTAAGAAAAGACAAGAAGTAAGAATTCTATTTGTGCATAATTACTATGGAGCTCTAAGTGGTAATCTTAGGAAATGCTGAATTAGAAGGCAACAGTTTTTTTTATTACAAGTCTGACGTTCCACTTCCATGCTGTGCACCTCCTGTATGTTGTTTCTGAAGCTGCAGCTCTACAACTCATTATCAACCCAACCCCTTTCTAATCCTCACTGTTCTGGTGAGTCAACACTGTATTAACCAATTTAGGAGATGATATTGTTGGGCCTAATTTTTTACCTATCTTTAAAATTACATTTTTGGAATTTGTCTTACCATGTGTCTTTCTTTTTACGTTCTAGCCAGTGTCCTAGTCTAGTCTCCCATCACGTTCTTTAAAGAGAATTTTAGTATTCCACTGCGTCTAGTAGTCCTGTCCTCACCTTCCTTTCTTCCCCATGTTATCAGTCCTCTGCTGTGCTGTAAGTGTAATGAATAGACAGCAGTTAATTAGATCAAGTCACTTAATTGCTTTAAACATTTCGGTTATTCTTTTCAGTGTAGAATT